GAGAGAGAGAGAGAGAGAGAGAGAGAGAGAGAGAGAGAGAGAGAGAGAGAGAGGAGAGGAACTTAGCAGAAGGACCAATAACACAACAACAGGGAATGATGACCATGGCACACACCTGGAAATGTCGCATGTGGAGAATAGGCGTACAGCCGAGATCAACCAACGACCTTCCCCCAACTTGATCCCTCACTAGTCGAGGTTTGTATGCTGACAGCATCGCCTCTGAGTCCGTCCCGATCCACCGGCAGACGTGCAGCAACGCATTAAGAGAGTTCATCTGCCGTCGGACAAAGGCAACACATCCAAATGCATGATTGAGACACATGAATTTTCGTCGACACGGCAGCACATGGACGTCCTCTTCTTGGTGAGTGTTAAATACATGTGGTCTGTGCAAATTACCAATTTTCTCTCTTGGTGGCATCAACTCTTTCTGTGCAAATGATCTAATTTGTGTTCTGTGTGAGACTCCAATCAAGGCTGATACAATCTCAATCAAGCGTCAAACAGTCACAGTGCGATGACGGTTGAGAGAGTTTATAATCCTTGAAATTCCTAACAGTGGTACTGGATCTGGTCATGATCTTGACTTCGGACACCTGTCGTCTGGATTAGTCACCATGTCAGCAAGAGTGCGACATCATCAAGTGCCACGTCAGCACACCATCTCACCACCTGTCTACTAATTATCTACGTATATACCTCGTTTCACACAGTTTTTCAAAGGGATAGATATTGTGCCGGGGGGGCGAAAGTTAACACTGGAGGGAAAAGTTGATGACGAGGTTGTAAGGGAAAGTCGACGTTGGGGGCGAAAGTTAACACTGGAGGGAAAACTTGACGTTGGAGGCGAAAGTGCCGGGGGGGAACTATAATCCTAAAAGTGGTCCCATGGTACGTTTGCAAGGCCAGAAGCTATACTAGTTGTGCATCATCTGTTTGTGTCGCCGCGGCGCCGCCTCAGAAGAAGAGGACAGAACGGTCACAGAATGAGAAGGTAACGTGAGGGCAGCGTTCAGCTGCTGAGCTCCAGAAGTAGATGGATGCTCTGGCTGCAAAAGGCAAGCTGACTTGTGCGCCAGCCAGGCCTAATGCGGCTCGGAGCGGAGAGGAGCGGAGCATCATCAAGTTCAAGAGATTGCCGTGGACGATAATCTGACATCGTCAGTTAGGATTTCCGCATTAGCCGTCCGTGGACATGAAGTTGATACGACCGAAGTCGCGAACCACTTAAGAGATCATCCATACTGTTAGCAAGCATCCAAGCATCTGGCGAACCACCAAAACTGACGCCACACAACGCACATATAGAGGAGAGCGTCGGTACGAGCCGCTGATATAGCAAATAGCAGCGCTGGCAACAACAGAGAAGGTGAGCTGCAGACTTCCGGATCTTTACCGCGGCAACAACAGACTCCGGCAAGGCCCTCCTCTCAATCTGGAAAGGGGAATCAGTAGGGCCATCAGCAATGGCCAAAGATCAGATCCCAAAAGTCTTTGAGGGACTGCATGATGACAACATCGAAGTTCCACTCCAGGAAGTGAAGCACTGGGTATGGTTTTATATATCTACGTATATACTGGGTATGGTATTACTGCATAACAGAAGAATAAAGCACGAATTTGCGCTGTGCGGTCCGAAACTTGTCGCCACAAGAAAACGAGAGGCCAGAACGTCAAACGTTGGCCCTGGCGTTGGCAGTCGCGTTTTCGTTTTGGCCTTCCAGAATTCGAGGTGTCAGGCCCGCGGCCCAGGTGCCAATGTACTTGTGGTGCTTTAAGGGCCATAGTAAGTAAGACCTTACCTGAGAATAGGCGCTGAATAAGGCACCTGGGACGTCAGCAACGAGGTGGACAAGGGGTGAAACAAGTGGATCTTCCCCATGGATGCGGTACAAGAAGAAGAGGAAGATGTGCTCCATCGTCGACCTGGGCGAAGATTGTGAATCAAAGGAGTACTGCAACGATGGGGAAAGGGGTAAGAACCCCTTAGGACAAGACGGTGAGCAGTCTGAGCCTCAAGGGGAACAGCAGAACAAGGACTCTATTCTTGCTGCACTGCAGCAGTTAATACAAAGCTGGCAAAAAGTGTAGGAACAGCATAACAAGCAGCAGCAGCAGCAAACTTGGGGTTGATACTATTTGTGACTTCTCTGGTGGACAGGGGAAATATAACCCGCCGTGGGAGAGGAATGGACTCACCAGGGGGTCTTTCAGGAACATGGTGGGAAAAGGATTCTGTATGACCTGTGGCTGGAGGGACACTTGAAAATGTGGTGCCAGAACAGAAACCGCCCCGTAAAAGGAAGGGGTTCCGTAAGCGGTGCTTTCACACCTCCACAAGTTGGGAGGACTATACAGCAATCAAGCAAGGCGGCATGTTTTTTTTTTTTTTTTTTTTTTTTCCCTCCCCTACCGCCATGACTGCAAGTGTCCAAGAGAAAGAGGAGGATAGTAGTGAGCACGATGAGGAAGAAGAGATCAGCGGTAGACACAACACCTGTGCCTGCGTTGTCCCACTGCTCGAACAAACTTCAATACAACATAAGGAGGTGGACAAGGTACCGTTCTTGCACGCTGATCAAGAGGTAGGAGAGGGTTGGGGAACCTGTTGAAGAGTTCACAGAGGAAGAGCAAGTTACCCTCCTGAAAGCCGATAAGAAGACTGCACCTCGGTCTGAGGGTGCCAGACCTTGCAGTTCCCATGGCAGTCATTGTAGGGAATGGGGACACTGTCAAATCTTCGACTTCGTAAGGAATATTCTTATCACATATGACAAAGACAGTAAACATTTGCTTCCTTGTACATCTTGGGGAAGTGTTAAAGACAGTTGTAGGCTAGCAATGGCTCAAAGCTGCCAATACAGCGAGTTTTTGTGCCACCGAGACAGATAAGATTTTGGATGGAGCAGGTGGAACTCGACCTGCATGCGGGGCTATAGGAAGAGAGATCCAAAAGGAAAGTCTGGCAAATTCTGCATGTGTGCACCTGGATTCTTCCACTACGCTCTAGGTTGCTCGGGTGACTGGAGCAGAACTGCAGACCCTTCAAACCAAGTATGGGCCGGTGAAAGTACAAAAACTGGTAGAGCAATACCGCGATCTGCAGCACGACCTCACGGACATCGTAGAACAGGAGGTGAAGCACCCGGATGTAGTGCTTCCCAAGGGATGAATTTGCAGGATGTCGGCCACAAACACAGCAGAGCTTAAACCACCAGTACCTTCTGGAGCACTCTGCCAAGCCATTTTTTGGTCCCGCTAGCAAGCCTGTGTGGGAAGGTTCTTGCTTCAGCTGGCCGTTGGCTGCAGCGGGCAACCGGTACTTCCTCTCTTTGTTTCTTCTTTTTTAAGAAAAAGGTCCAGGGTGTAGTAGAGGGCAGTGGCCAGGCCTTGGGAGGTACCCGCAGTACTCATCCCTTGGGAGGTCAGATGGATTGCGAGGACCCAGGGCCCAGGGGGAGTCACCGCAGGATGGCACCATGGTACCATATGACCCAGGGCAGGGGCCAGGCCTGAGGAGGTGCCCGTAGATCACAAGTCGTGATCTGCGCCAACGTTTACCGGACTAACCCGAACGTCTTCATGCAGACACTACCCTAATGCTAATGTTAAGGACGACCTGGGCACAGGTGCAGTCCATGCATATGCAGTCATCCCCCATCTGCGCCTCATACTGCAGACTCTATGGGCAGCAAACCGCCCTTCCAGTAAGATGCGATATCCCGCCCTCCCCTATCCTAAGCATTAGGCCTTCCTACCCCAGACTCCCCAAGAATCCACAGTCCCGCCTACTTCCCCCAATGAGAATTCACACGGACCCCAACCTGGATGAAGCACCACCCGCAGGCATCGTGAGATACCTGGGTGATGAGCAGTACCCAGTACCTACCCCATACTAACACCCAGAGTGTGCGTAGGATTATCCCCCCCGAGATGGGCCCTACCGTAGTCTAAGTTCACTCTGTGTGGATACAGGTGCCATAGTGACGGGAAACATGCTAGCTATACCCAGGCTCGACCATGGCACCCCCACGGACTAGTACACACTGACGAGACTGACAGATTGGAGGGTCCAAGTGGCCATGCAGAGGTATCCACGGTTGCAACAGCTCCAACAGTTCTTTGGTTACCAACGGTCTAGGCAGTAAGCCCTCCCCTATTTAATCTACCCTAACCTATCCTTCCCCCCCCCCCCGGTCCCCCCCCTCTCCCCGAGACCCCCTAAGACCAAGCACTCAAGCAGCCCCACCTCTGGCCCTATCCAGCATACAACCATGGACCTAGACCCCTTGGGCAGTGCGCGGGCAGTGTCTGTATAAATCTTACCATGTGTCGTCCCAAGGGGTGTGTGTGAATGACTTGTGCGTTATGAAAGCGCTTGCTGGTGTACGTGAACGAGGCAACGGAGTTTTGAACCCGCAACCTCATACCACAATGCTCTAACCACTGAGTCAACGACCATTTACTTCCACACTGGTCTTTTTTTTTTTTCCCTTTTCTGTTTTGTAATTCTTTTTCTTTCCTTCTGTTGCTATGCGTGCCGAAAAAAAAAAGGGAAAAAAAAGGGTTCGAATCCTATTTGGTGATCGTGTAAAACTTGGCTCAATGGTTAGAGCACCGATCGCGTACAATGTGGCAGTTGAGACGTTTTACACGATCACCAAGCAGGATTTGTATACACAACCCTTTGGAGGAACAACAACTTTGACCAACTCAATCGTGTGTTGGACCGTTTGTGTAGGAACTTAACGAGGTTCGGTCAGAATTTCTGAAAATCGGTCAAGTAGGCTTTGGATGCTTGTTGGGATCGGCGGGGGTGCAGGTTGCAAGTTCTTAGTGAAGGCAACCGAATCTGAAGTAGACTCATTTGGAATAGAAGTAGGTGTAGGGATAGAAGTAGATTTATCATGCAAAGTATAATTATTATCGACCGCAATAGTAGAAGGTACATGAGTAGGGCGAACAAATGCAACATACAACTGTTTATCCTCCTTATGCCCACGCCACTTCTTGCATAACTGCATGGCATTAAGAAAGGTCACCGGGGAGTCGAGCTTCTCATCCAAGAGGACGGGACACTCATTCCCTTGTGCATCTTTGACCATGAAAAGTGGTTCCTTCCACTTGGTCCTTTCACATTGGGACTGCAACCAGCGCAACCCGAGGACTGCGTCAAAGGGACACTTGTTAAGGACATAAAAGTTCAATGTGTGTGTGATAGTCTTCTCTTTGTTAAAGGTAGTGCACACACCTTTGACTGCATGCGTAGATGAG